TCGGCGGCGGTATTTGACACTCAGGGAAGCAGCGCATCGGTCCATGTCGGCGGCAGTTAAAGGCAATGTGAGCATCCATTCCCATTGGATAACGGAGGATTTTACACCCGGAAGTAAGTATTCTCTTTACTGTCGATTGATTTTACAGTGATATCTGCACTACTCATCAACTCAAAAACACCAGATTATCCTTGTTAACTACACAACATTGATTGGTTTAAATTGTGTACAATGCTTTTGTATTTTTTCCCTTCGATTCGGAGAAACAAATATCTTTTCGGAGTTTAGGATGGCAGAAGACACTACACTACCCAGAATCCTCAGCTATCGTTTGGGAATACACCATGTGCTTTGCTTCACAAACCCTGTGATTAGTCCTCAAGCTCTGTGATTGGATGTTGGAGTGGCAGTGCGCGAAGTTTACACGGAGCGTCAAACAGCACTTTGAAATGGAATGAATCCCATTGATGGCTCACTAACCAAAACAGAAATCGAACGTGTCCTACCCCCCCTTAGGTCACAGGCTCCTCCAACAGTGCAACACAATAAAACAGATACACAGAAAAAATAGTGCAAGTAAATACAAAAAAAAAAGAAGGTGTTTAACAGTCTTCTGGCCTGTGGGATGAAGCTGTCCCTGAGTCTGGTGGTTTTAGTCCTGATGCTGCAGTACCGCCTGCCAGACGGCAGCAGAAAGAACAGTTTGTGGTTGTGGTGATGGGTGTCTTTTACAATCCTGAGGGCTTTCTTTAAGGTTAACCTGGTATTTTTACTCCACTACATTTATTTTAGTTACTTTACAGATTTGGATTAATTATGTGAAATATAAACAACCGTTCAATCAGACTTTAGTTATGCAAGATATTTGATAGTTGGTGCTTGAGAAGACAACAAATGTATCTGCAGATCCCTATAAAGCATATTCATTACTCGTTATTCTCTAATCGTTCATTAGGGACTGTATATAATGGCTATTTTGCACATCCCTTTCAAGATTTCAAGATTTTCAAAGGTTTATTGACATATCATATACACAACTACAGTGTAGTTATGAAATGATGACAAACTTAATTTGTTGGGTCATAGGTTCCTCAACAAGACATCTATCAATATGTGTGTACCTCAACCATTAAACTGTCATATTCTGCACATTTCTTATTCTATCTAAATTCATCTTATAAGAGTATAATAGTATAATATCAGTTAAAATAAGTGCTTCAACATAGTTAACATTGCTGGAGGTATACACACATATTGATAGATGTCTTGTAATGCACTGTTGAGGAACCTGCGACCCAAGTTTTTCATTAATTGCATAACTACCCCGTAGTTGTGTATATTGAAATATTGAATCAGCTGCGGGAGGTGTGAAAATGTGCCGTAAAGCAACAACGGTGCGGGACACACCAACCTGAGTAGGGCGCCGCGAATGCCCGACTGCCTCTGACGGCCTCTGACTCCCAAAATCGGGTAGGTCAGGGTGTCAGGGCCTTAAGAGCCATCGCTTACACTCGATCCCTCCCAGCACCCCCCAGCAGCTCCATACGACAGTGGGAGCGTCAGAGTTGCTAATGCCAGGAGAAGCAACCAATAACAGCGTCAGAAAAACGGTCTATCAAGAACTCCCAGCCAGCCCATAGCTCACAGATCACTATACCCACAGCTAAAGGGCACTGACTTCCCCTTCTTGACAAAAGAGAAGCACGCAAGGCTCACACTGAAGAAAGCTCTGATCACACATTTGCTCATAATCACAAGATCAAGTGAAATGATGCAATTGAACACTGCCCTTATACAAATAAAAACAGAAGTTTAGATGTTCTTTTATTAGTTCCACTGCCAGGAAATGTTCCGTTTTACAACAGCTACGTTTTACAACCATTTAATAACAATTCAAAATATATTTCATAGACTGAAATTATATTCAAATGATATATGAATATATTGCACAAGATTAGATGAATGAATTGTTTTGGTAAGTGTATTGGTATTGTTGGTATGAATTATGAGTGTCTATGTTATTGATGAATAACATTAATGCATTTTAATACAGTATTTTGTGTGTATGTTCCCAGGATTCCCATAAGATTGTCTTCTCACATCTTCCAATAATTCCCATCCCTTTTATAATATTCCAGGATGTTTCATCTTTTTAAAACTAAAACTTGGTTCCTCTTTATTAATGTTTTCATATCCCCTTTCGCTCAATAGGCTACGTGTGTTCCTCCTTCTCTTTCTCCCGGCATTTCTTTTGTCTTTGTTACATTCCACTCTTAATACGATGACAATCGTGCCATCAAATGGTGCAAAATGTTGGCTAAACAGCCAATCATTTGTCTTTTTGCTACAGAAATCTGCTAAATACGATTAAAATGACATTTACAGAAGTGGCAATCCTTGTGTGAGTAACGTCAGCAATAGCAAGTAATCCAGTTACATTTATTTTGTTAGACATCCTCCCATTATGTGTCCTTCATTACACTTTAAAGAAGGTATGTTTAGTCTAAAAGAAATTCAAAAATTCCAAGAATATAATAAAGACATCCTGTGTGAAGTCTGTTGTTATCACCAGGATTTACCCAACCGTTGTCTGATCAGAAAGACACTTGCCAGGAGTTTTAAATTACTTTACTAAAGATCATAGCTATAACAATAATTAAAATTATTTCAATAGTTTGACCATGAAAGCCTCACCTGTTTAGATGTCCTGGGTCCCCTCTTCAGAGAGCTTCTTGTGTCGAAGATGTCCTGAACACTGACTGAACCAGAAAGAGGAACAACCCTTTCTTTTCTTTCCATATGCAGACACAACATGAAAGTCCCGGGAGGTTTTTATTGAAATACTGTTGCTTGAATGAATGTACACATGCATATAAAACTACTTTTGTATCACATTAGAATAACACAATATTGAACATTGTATGAAAGAAAAGCAGTATTTAGATCATTTCAAATATAATTTAATTCCAAAATAAATAATGTGTGTAAATTCACAAATGTAAACTTGCTCATTTACAGTAAAGGAAAAGTCATTGTTCTTTATTTCATTGGCATTGTATTCCCTGGTGTGTTGCATGAAGAAAATGTCACTATATGGTATGTCATTATATTTCCGTGCAAAAGTTGAGACCTGATGAAATAATGAGTTTTCTTTTCTTATTTCTTTCATCCATGTGATTTATTTAGCCTGGTCCAAGTCTTTGAATCAGCGCCCATGTTTCTGATTTTTAAACGTATATATATATTCAATTGATATTAAAGAATAAGGAAGTAACAAGACAACAATTCACTCTTATTATCAGGCAATTATTCTGAACTTTTAAACCTTTTTCTAGGTATTTAGGAAATGTCGCACTTTCTTAAGGTAATGTCAACATTTAAAAGTTGATTTATTTGACATTTTGTCCAAACCAATGTTATTTTCTATATATTCCACTTCTTTGCAATACATTTTTTTTAGGTTTAATGTAAAAAATATATCTATCCTTTCCTCTTCTGCTCTCGAGCCATCTGACACAGTCCACACAGCGGCAGGCAGCCCATGATTAACCAGTCGTCACACACTGAGCCCTGGGAAGAAACAAAAGGACAGTAAACTTCAGACAAACATACATTTTCTCATTAAAAAAAACAAAAGATTGATTCAGGTCAACGATATATTTTCAACTGACCAGATTTCACAGTGACAGCATCATCTCTGCAGTACAAAATCAGCTGTACAGTTTACCTTTCTTAGGTTTAAAGGTCTCCTATTATACTGTTTTTCATCAATATATTATAGGTCTCAGATATATACAAAACATGTCTCTGAAGAGTCTCTTCAGAGACATGTTTTGTATATATCTGAGACCTATAATATATTGATGAAAAACAGTATAATAGGAGACCTTTAAACCTAAGAAAGGTAAACTGTACNCGTAAATAATCTACAAAATGGAGGAGACCGATCTGATCGGAGCAACTGTGACAAATAATCCAACTGAAACCGGCATGGACAATGACTGTTTTAAAAATGCGCTTATCCAGAAAACCCTGGTTTGGACGCTTTACGGGCAGAAGAAACATTTCTATTAAAGAAAGAATTATACATTTCTGTCTTTTTATGCCTATAATAGCCACTAACTTGAATTTTTATTAAAATTAATTAATCAATTATTTTTCATATTTTATTGTAATGTAGAGACAAAGCTTTCAGTGACAATCATGTATTGCTTTACAATTATATGAAAAAAAAAAGTCTAAATATGATATTTGGCCTCAAATCATCTGAGGCCTGGCGCCCCCCCTGCGATCTTGGGCACGCCCCCCAGGTTAGGAACCACTGCTCTACAGTACAATTTAAATCTTTTACAGGTAAGACTTTTTTATTATGTTGTAAAGGTCAGCGTAAATTGACCACATTATTCATGTACGATGGTAAATTGTGGGTAAGGATTAGGGTATGAATAGAAAAATAGGATTGTTCTCTCAGGAGGATGAGAGACTAACTGCTGCGATATCTTTTTTATGAGATGGCAGAACATGCCATAGCAAAAATGTGTTGCCAAATGCAAGGCCAATATGGAAGAAAATTACTACATTCAACGGGTACATTTTTTTCACAAAGTATCAAATGATAAAAAACAATATAAAGAAGGGTTTTGTGCCGTTAAAGAGGACAGTGTGTTTTTAGCGGATATGTTCATAAACGTTTAAAGGACCAGGTAACTGAAAGGATGAACAGTGACCAGCACAGGTGTATTGTTTTGTTTTATTATTCTTTATAAACACTTTTCTTCCATTTTGCTTTTGTTTTAGGAAGTTGTAACTCCATACAGACTGAATTATTATTTTGAATAGCTGAAATGAATTTAAATTGGATACATATACAAACAGTTAAAATAGGGGATGTATAACAGTGATAGCCTTTTTTGTAGTTCTATAGACCCACACGCAATACAAAGTTAGACATGTAGGAGAGCTAAAAGATGAATTGAAGCACAGGAGTACAAACACTTCTTTTAAGGCCGGTGTTTGAGCTCGTTTTTATTATTTTGCCATCCACACTTCAGCCCACAGTGTGTACACACACCACACCTTGCTCCCTCTTGAAATGTGAAACACCCCAATGTCAAACACTGTTGTGAAAACAAGGTGTGCACCGGCCAAATGGTCATTGTTTGCCATTTTATATCAGCACTGAAACTGGGCTCCGGTGTAAGCGTGATGTCACACTGGGTATAAGAGACGCAGGCAGGCGTTTGCCCGCCTGTTAGTGGATTTATCCCGTGACCCTCTGTGAGACCACCTTTACAGGAGCAATCTACCAAGGAGGTGAGATGAGATCTGAAGCTGTGTTTCCATTCCTGCTACATGGAAGAGTCAGCAGGATGGCACAATATAATCTGTTTTTGCATCTAATAGTTCTCTACTTACAGCAATGGCGTTCCAGTCCAATGTGATCAGCTCGCAGCCTCAGGTCACCGTCACTCAGTACACAGTGACGTCCGGGTCCGCAGACTGGAGTTCAAACGTGTGCGACTGCTGTGAAGACTGTGGCATCTGTAAGTGTCTACCTGTGTGTGTGTAGAAGCAAGAAGAAATTAACAACACTATAACATAAATAGCAAATTGATGAAACGTCTCTCACCTCCAGGTCTGTGTGCCACGTTCTTACCGTGTATCCTGGGCTGCCAGGTGGCTCAGGACCACGGGGAGAGCTGCTGCCTGCCCTTCCTCCCAGGGGCCATGATCGCTCTGAGGACCAGCATGCGAGACAAATACCACATCGAGGTAAGAGCGTTCAGTTTTGTCTAAGCACACATTAAAGGTCACCTATTGTGCAAAATCCACTTCTTCATGTCTCTTATACATCAACATGTGTCCCTTCTGTGTAAAGAGACTCTGAAAGTTTCAGGAAAAAAAGATTCTCTCTCTTTTTGTCCTGATCCATTTATATAAAAACCTGTCTGAAAATGAGCTGATCAGATTTTGGCCACTTTATGATGTCATAATGATGTGTTGGCTTAGTAACCATTAGCCAATCACCAACCCCACCTTATCACCTGAATCTCCTCCTAGAGCACCATTGTGTTCTTTCTAACCAAATCTCTCTCAGAGGGGCGTGGGGAGGGCCTCCTTCTTTTCATCTAAAGTAACCTGTACATTTCTCATCACATAGGTAACTAATGTTAGTCAC